CTTTTCTGAACATATTGTACTATAGTGTAGCTTATCTAAAATGAAGCAAAATCATTTTATTTTCATTTTAAACCATAAAATACAATTGATATATATAAAGTTTAACCACATAACACTTAGCAATTAGTTGATTGGGGGACCGTAAATAATGGAAAGAGATATCTGCATGTATTTACCATTAACAGAGAAATAGAGAAAATTCGGATTAGGAAAAAAACGATCGTTTTTTGAAGTAAATAAGTCAGGTAGTACTTCAAAATGGATAAGGTTAAAGTAATTTAAGAACAGCTGAAGCATGCTGCCTGAAAAATTTTCATTAATTGGAAATTAAATAGTAAAACAATAAGTGAAAATACCGTTTGTATTTCTCATGTATTATATGCATAATTTTAATTTTTACTACCCCAAAAACGGTAGCACCGGGCATCAGGCGATGCTAGTTGCACACCCCTGCAACTGCCACGCAATGGTAAGCAAATTGCAACAAACTCGTTGGTGTAGAAATTGAACTCGCTGGTTTTGTTTTTGTACTTTCAATTTCGATTTCAAAGATGAATGTAAAAGTTAAACTGACTGGCCAGTAACTTCCGGATTTCGACGACGAAAAAAAAGTTTGGGTCGGCGATGAAAATGAGGGTCGGTCGGGTAACCGTAAACAAACATAATTTTTTGTTACGCCTTATATTGCCATTTTATCTTAAGAAAAATGGGATATGTATGTGTTTCATATTTTCACCATTTACTCACAAGCAACAGTCTGACTTTTCTCGCACTCTTTATCGGTAGTTAAAACTACAACTGAAATGAAAACAAGAGTGTAGTAGTGATCAAATTCACATACTCTATTGTTAAGTAAGATAGTTACAATGTACAGAGAACATGGTTCTTGTCTTCCTTACTGTCACTGTCAAATCCTGCCTCTAGGCCAAAGATGCTGGGCCTACCATCCTGTCTCTGCAGGAGTACCTCCTCTGCCTCTGAGAGTTCCACTTCAGCCCCCTGTCCGCCACCTGTTTTTCTACATTCTTTCTTCAGGAAATCTATTTTTTCTTTGGCTGTTGTAAGTAAAAACATGCTTTAGTAATAATATATGGCATGTCTGAGCTATAATAATAAATACAAGGTTGAGTGTACATGAGCAAGATATTTGTTATTTACATTCAAATTAAAATTTTCATCAGTTTTGAACCCCTATAACCCTAGGTTTATTGTTGACTTAAAACTTGTTTGATATCTAATGCTGAGTCAGTAAATACATTGTAAATTGGTTATTAATGTTTTTTTAAATGTCTCATATCTACTGTGTATGAAGCAGTCAATTAAAATTGTGTAGTTTACAGAAAATCCTATCATCAACATAAAGAGATTATCAGGCGCGGATCCAGGAATTGAAGTTAGAGGGGGCGCCAAAAATAGGCAAGGGGTTTGGGAGCTGCCTTGAGGCCCCCAGTGGATCCAGGGTGGGGGCCCAGGGGGCGAAGCCCCCGGAAGCTCATGGATTCTAGAGATTTTGTAGGGTAAAAATGAGGTCTACCAAGCAGACATATTTACATTTTCTAGACGAAACTGTGATTTACGTTAACTTTGACAATTTTAGGGGGGACGCGCCCCGGGTGCGCCCCCCCCCCCCCTTAAATCCGCCACTGATTATAAAACAAAAAGCAACGTCTTTTTGAATTTTATTTAAGATTATACTGTTGGATTGAATGGTTAACAAATTCTTGATTTAAGAAAGGTTGCAGGTGAGAACTTAAACTGAAGCCAGTGATCATGGTGATAATACAACATTCTCTCTTTTTTTTAACTAAAATTCTTACTGAGAGTGGACTTACTGAGAATACAAACTAAACTAGAAAACTAATTTAGATCTAGCTTACATTTAGATGTTTAGAACACATAAGTGTTTGCAGAAATTAAATTCACTTACTCCTTTGTTTCGCATTGTTATACTTTTTTCTGCACTCCTCTGGTGTTCTCTTGCTGTTAGTGAATTGTCTACAAAAACAAGATTTAAACATTAAATTTATGATTTTGTTTTTCCTCTTTTCTGTTTCCTTATTGTTTATAAAATCATTTTTATTGGCCTCAGTTAATCATAATTATGAGCTATTGCTTAAAAAAAACCAATTAGTTTACATCATTTTATGCACAAAGATAAGGTGTAACACATGAAAAGTACATTTCAAACACATTGTGCTCTGAAGATTTCTGCAAGTATTTTTTTCAAATACAATGATAAACAATCAATCTTAATTTGTCCACACCCTATAACACAATATTTAGGCCTATTTAGAAAGCAGATCATTTCCACTTTGACTTTCTTAAATAATAAATATGATATCATATTAAATAAATAAAAGTTTTCACAGGTAGGAAGAAATTCCTTACGCATTCAACACATCTGCGACTTCCTCCCAGCCCTGCCTCCGCTTCGCCTGACCAGATTTCGCCCCGGTGCCCTTAAAATCGCCGAATAGGGCATCCTCCCGATCAAGGACGGCCGAAATCAGTCTCGTCTCCTCGTCTGGAGACCACTTCGTTCTCACTTTTTTTTCAACAACCTCTTTTGAGGTAAGGAGTTTTTCTATGTCTTTTTCTGCCATGTTTAATGTTATATTTGTATAGTCTGCTGTGTATATGCAGACGATATTGTACTTTGTCGTCGGACACAAAGTAACCAATACAACCCTTTACGTTTTACAGAAATCATATGTTATTTCATAAGAATTTTTGAGAAAAATATAGCTTAAAACGTTTTAATGGAAAATAAACAAATAAACTCACCTCTATGCCCATTGGAATACTGCCACAAATCATCAGCGTACACATTACATGGGCGCCGCCATTACTGAAGAGTTCCAAAAAGACCGCTTGTGTAATTGAAAAAAAGTCCGAGTTCGTACTCCAAAATTTCGAGTCCGTACTCTTAGGAGTACGTACTCGAAAATTTTTATAACCTAAGATTTTGATCTCGTACTCCTAGGAGTACAATTTTAAATTGGAGCCAGAGTTGGAGCTGGAGCCCGAGTCAAGGTTTATAACCTCCTAGCCTGGTGTCCAGCTTCTTGGTACTCTTGCCAGCAGGTAATGTAATCTACCAGACCTTTGACAGTATAAGGGTCTTGTTGTCCTTGTTTCTATAAGAAAGAGAAATTCTACATCAAAAGAGACCTCAATAATGATCATTTGTGGAAAAGCACAAGCAATGGATTTAGCACAAATTATCTGTATCTTACCCTTTCTTCCATGGCTGGCAGCAGTAAAACTTGGATCTCTGGACTCCTCCTACAGAGTGATAGATGTGTTCTCTGCCACAAGATCAAAGCTTGCCTAACCATCATTCTGTTTAAACAAAAAGTCAAGAGTTCAAATTTGTGTTCTAACAGGATTGACTAAGAATAACACATAGGAATCCAAAACTGAACATATGCAGCTTGTTTCTTACCAATGTTGCAAATGTTGGCCCATTGGTTAAGTGGATACCCTGTATCCTGGCAATGGTCTCATCTTCCTTGAATGGTCCTCTTCTTCCTTGAATGGTCTTCCTCTTTTTTGTGTATTCCTCTTCTTCCTTGTATGGTCCTCCTCTTCACTGTGTGGTCCTCTTCATTATTGTGTGTACCTCTTCTCCTTGTGTATGCATCCTTTGTGTATTCCTCTTATTCCTCTTCTTCATTGTGTGGTCCTCCTCAGCATTGTGTGGTCCTCTTCTTCCTTGAGTGGTCCTCCTCTTCAGTGAGTGGTGAGTGATCCTATCCTTCATTGAGTGGTTGTCTTAAACTTGGCACATGTCCATACCTGCTGTCACATGAAAAAAATGGACACATCTAAGTTCTTGGTACTTTTATTGTAGGATACTGAGATTCCAGATCAAAGGAGGTTTATTCAACATGCTCATTTTCATCAAGTTGTGGATCAAGCACATTAATTTGTAATTACCCTTTCTTCCATGGCTAGCAGCAGTGGATCTATGTTCCCATTAAGGAAAATTCTCCGGAAGAGTGATAGATGTGTTCTCTGTCACAAGATTGAAGCTTGTCTAACAATTATTCTGTTAATATAGAGAGTAAAAAGTTGTAAAGTGTGTCCCAATCATTTTTGATACATAGACTAACTTGGTAAACCAAAAAATGTAACATATGCAGCTTGTTTCTTACCAGTTTAGCTGATGATGGCCTGTTGGTTTAGTGGATACCCTGTATCCTTGCAATGGTCCTTCTCTCCTTGTGTATTTCTCTTCTTCTTTGTGTAGTCCTCTTCTCCCATGGGTGGTCCTCTTCTTCATTGCTTGGTCCTCCTCTATCTGTTGTCATTCAACCTGAAAACCAGAAGTCTCTGTCGAGACTGAAGCGCTACTGGTTTGTACTTATAGCAACGGGAGAGAAAAGTACTTAAGCAGTTGGGAACTGGAACTTTACAACAGCAATAAATAGAATAATGATCGTTGATAAAGTCTCTTTCATGTTCTTAGTGTATTCTAAATGTGTGCCAAGTTATATTGAAATCAGACCAAAACTGTAGGAGGAGTAGTGTTTTGAAAGAATTTCACAGAAATTCTATTTCTAGTAACCACGGGCGACGGCAACACCATTCAACGAAATCAAAAACCGATATACAGAATTATGTATCTTAGTGTAGTCTACCTGTGTGCCAAGTTATACTGAAATCAGACCAAAACTGTAGGAGGAGTAGCGTTTTGAAAGAAAGTCACAGAAATTTCTATTTTTAGTAACCACGGCAACACCGTTCATCGAAATCAAAAACCGATACACAGAATTATGTATCTTAGTGTAGTCTACTAGTGTGCCAAGTTATATTGAAATCGAACCAAAACTGTAGGAGGAGTAGCGTTTTGAAAGAACTTCACAGAAATTTCTATTTTTAGTAACCACGGCAACACCGTTCATCGAAATATAAAACCGATATACACAATTATGTATCTTAGTGTAGTCTACTAGTGTGCCAAGTTATAATGAAATCAGAGCAAAACTGTAGGAGGAGTAGTGTTTTGAAAGAATTTCACAGAAATTTCTATTTTTAGTAACCACGGAAAAACAATTCATCGAAATCAAAAAACAATATAAAGAATTATGTATCTTAGTGTAGTCTACTTGTGTGCCAAGTTATACTGAAATCGAACCAAAACTGTAGGAAAAGTAGCGTTTTGAAAGAACTTCACAGAAATTTCTATTTTAAGTAACCACGGCAACACCGTTCATCGAAATCAAAAACCAATACACAGAATTATGTATCTTAGTGTAGTCTACTTGTGTGCCAAGTTATATTGACATCAGTCCAAAACTGTAGGAAGAGTAGCGTTTTGAAAGAATTTCACAGAAATTCTATTTCTAGTAACCACGGCAGCACCGTTCATCGAAATCAAAAACCGATATACAGAATTATGTATCTTAGTGTAGTCTACCTGTATGCCAAGTTATATTGAAATCAGACCAAAACTGTAGGAGGAGTAGTGTTTTGAAAGAATTTCACAGAAATTTCTATATTTAGTAACCACGGAAAAACAATTCATCGAAATCAAAAAACAATATAAAGAATTATGTATCTTAGTGTAGTCTACTTGTGTGCCAAGTTATATTGAAATCGAACCAAAACTGTAGGAAAAGTAGTGTTTTGAAAGAACTTCACAGAAATTTCTATTTTTAGTAACCACGGCAACACCGTTCATCGAAATCAAAAACCAATATACAGAATTATGTATCTTAGTGTAGTCTACTTGTGTGCCAAGTTATATTGACATCAGACCAAAACTGTAGGAGGAGTAGCGTTTTGAAAGAATTTCACAGAAATTTCTATTTTTAGTAACCACGGCAGCACCGTTCATCGAAATCAAAAACCAATACACAGAATTATGTATCTTAGTGTAGTCTACTTGTGTGCCAAGTTATATTGACATCAGACCAAAACTGTAGGAGGAGTAGCGTTTTGAAAGAATTTCACAGAAATTTCTATTTTTAGTAACCACGGCAGCACCGTTCATCGAAATCAAAAACCGATATACAGAATTATGTATCTTAGTGTAGTCTACCTGTATGCCAAGTTATATTGAAATCAGACCAAAACTGTAGGAGGAGTAGCATTTTGAAAAATTGTTTACAGACAGACAGACAGACGGACAGACGCCAGACGCATTACTATCGCATAAGCTCTTCTGGTCTCTGACCAGTAGAGCTAAAAACCCACAATTTTTAATTAAGATCTTTGTTCTTTAGTTGTGGTATACTGAGATTCCAGATCAAAGGAGGCTCATTTTACAATCTGTGAAAATGGCCCTAATTATAATAATGTGTGAAAGAGCACAAGCAATGGATTCATCACATTTAATTTGTATCTTACCCTTTTGTCCATGGCTGGCTGCTGTGGATCTCTCTTCCCTGGACTCCTCCTTTTGAGTGATGGAAGTGTTCTCTACCATGAGATCAAGGCTTGTCTAACCATTATTCTGTAAATGTACAAGAGGTCTAATGAGCGTCTTTATTGAATTGACTAAGAATTAAACATTGCAATCAAAAAATGTATCATAAGCAGCTTGTTTCTTACTACTGTTGTCAATGTTTGGCCGTTGACTGTATCCTGGTAATGACTTCCTCATCTTTGTGTGGTCGTCTACGATAAGGCATCTGTCTATACCTGCTGTCATCTAAAAGGTTAGACACAGTTTATTTTAGCTCTTGGTGCTTTACTCAGTCAAATACTTAGATTCCAGATCAAAGAGAGCTCTGTTTACAACAGTTAAAATGAACACAAGGATTTGAACCTTACCCCTTAAAAGTTAATGCCGAACTCCCTGTACTCGTAAATCCACAAGTAAGGTTGTCATTGTTTGTATTGGGATTGGGGCTAACTCTGGACTCTTCTTCAAAAGTAGGGTTGTCATTGTTTGTATTGGGATTGAGGCTAACTATAATTCTGTTAACATACAGAGTCAAGAGTCATTTTTAACTAGTACTAGTACCAGTCTTAAATAAAGTGAAAATAGAAAATCTACATCTAAACACCAAAAATGCTGCTTGTTTCTTACCACTTTGCCCAATCTTGGCCTTTTGTTATGGTGGATACCCTGTATCCTGGCAATGGTCTCTTCTTCCTCAATGTGGTATCTTCTGCTATCTGCCCATTCCTCCTTGTGCCCTTGATAATGGTAGAAACTGACACAGGATTAGTACAGTTCCATAACAATTGAAAAAGAGCCTTTAATGCATCATCCACAAACAAAAACATGTGACAATTACATATATGGAAAATACACAAACAATTATAAATGAAATGGGAAAAGGATAGTAATGTTAGTAATGTAAGTAAAAAAGGAGGGAAAACAGAAAACCAAAAATATGTGCAACAGGAAAAATACAGCTCACCTTATTTCTGGCTTATAAGATCAAAATACAACCTTTTCTGAGGTGCAATGGGTACAATTCTCCATTCTGCCTAGTAAATAACATTTGCAAATTGTTAAAATAACTGTTACCAAATTAATCTCACTTCTAAAATAATTTTTTTAGGAAATTCAAAGACTTAGTCAAATGGCATTAAAAACAAGTTTTCAGAGTAAACAAGAGGCCCAAGGGCCACATCGCTCACCTGAGTAACTTTGGTGATGAAGTTCTTTACCAGATTTCCCCTCTTGCTATACCTATCATGCCCCCCCTACACCCTCCCCATTCATGATTTTAATACTTTAGAATCTACACTACCCCAGGATGCTTTCACATAAGTTTCAGCTTTCCTGGCCCAGTGGTTTTTGAGAACAAGATTCTTAAAAGATTTTTCCTAAATATATCTATTTAAAACTTGGATTCCCTATTGTGGTTTCAGCTTTCCTGGCCCAGTGCTTCTTGAGAAGAAGATTTTTAAAGATTTGTTCTATACATTTCTATGTAAAACTTGGATTCCCTATTGTGGCCACGCCCTACCCCCGTGGGTCATGATTTTAACAATTTAATATCTACACTACCCAAGAATGCTTCCACATGTTTCAGCTTTCCTGGCCAAGTGGTTCTTGAGAAGAAGATTTTTTAATGACCCCACCCTATTTTTGTCTTTTCTTAATTATCTCCTCTTGTAAGGGGACTTGGCCCTTCATTTTAATAATCTAAACTCCCCTTTACCTAAGGATGCTTTGTACCAAGTTTGGTTAAAATTGACCCATTGGTTCTTGAGAAGAAGTCGAAAATGTGAAAAGTTTACGGACGGACAGTCGGTCGGACGACGAACAAAATGTGATCAGAAAAGCTCACTTGAGCCTTCGGCTCAGGTGAGCTAAAAAAAGATAAGTTCACATCTTACCTTCACACCAAGGTTTAAGTGTAGTCTGTCTTTTATCTTGGTTGTCTCAGGTTCAAACATTACTGACATCTCTAAAACCTGGGAACCAACCAAACCTGATCTTTTTCCTGTCAACACAAAATATGTAGAGATCAACAAAACATTAGTTATAATTATCAGACTGCATCTAATGAAAGTTATGAAATCTTGCAAAGGGAATAGAGAAGAGAATGTATTTTACCTCCTCTATAAAGAAGCTTGCAGTCAGTCAATTCTCCTCACTCTTCTATAAAATGTGGATCTGCTCTTGAACATACATTGTGGGATCTAGAATTGTCTGTTAACAATGTAGTTAGAAAATCTAATTTAAACCCAAGTGATGCAAATGTAATACTAATAGAAGTGCAACTTAGTTTCTTGCAGTTACCTGTAGGATTGACATATAAGTCAATTTCAGCTGCTAGCTGGCAAGTGATGAATCTGCTGCTAAATCTGGGCCTTATAGGTCACCTGAGTATCATGCAACAACTTTCCATCAATTGAATTTGATTCATGTTTTAATCTAGAAGCCATTAAATTCACAATTTTGAAAGAGGCACCATTGCTTATCATAATTATGCACTCAGCATACTTACTTCGGTTAGTAATACCCTGGGGTACATGTAGATCACAGTAACAGAGAAAATGCATTTCCACTTTATCATTATCAGTTGTGCACCCCATCCCACATGAACCACTGACCCTGGGGCCACATCTTCAAAATTTTGGAAATTTTATAAATTTTATTTCACCATGTTGTTGATTAATACCAAAGTGCAGATTTCAAACAATTAAATCATTTTCAGACCCCCTCCCCCACCCAAGTACCTCTGTCCCAGGGGCCAGAAAATTAAGCATTTTTGGAAGAAGCATCGTTCTTCGTCATAAATATATACTAAGATCATTGCCATAATACCCAGGATCAAAGGAAAAGATTTTCAAAGAATTTATGCATTTTCACTATATAAACATTAGAGCCCCGCCCTAACACAAGAAGCCCCAACCCAGGGGCCCTGAAATTCACAAATCTCAAAGAGGCATCCTTCCTCCTCATAACTATGTATATAGTTCATTGGTTTATTACCCAGGTGTATAAAAGAAGATTTTTAAAGAGTTTATGCATTTTCACTATATAAACAATAGAGCCCCACCCTATAGCTAACACCAGAACCCCTGACCCTGGGGCCATAAAATTCACAATTGTGGAAGAGTCACTCTTACTCATCATAACTATGTACTTAGTTAGTTTATTTAATACCCAGGAGCAGAGAAGAAGATTTTCAAAGAAATAATGCATTTTCACTATATAATCAATAGAACCCCGCCCTAACACTGGAACCCCCGACCCTGGGGCCATAAACTTCATAATTTAAGAAGAGGCAGCCTTATTCACCATAACTATGCACTTGGTTAGTTTATTTAATGCCCAGGAGCAGAAAAGAAGAATATCAAAGAAATAATGCATTTTCACTATATAATCTATATAGCCCCGCCCTGCCACTAGAACCCCTGACCCTGGCGCCATTAGATTCACAATTCTAGAAGAGGCAGCCTTATTCAACATAACTATGCACTTGGTTAGTTTATTTAATGCCCGCAAACAGAAAAGAAGAATATCAAAGAATTATTGCAATTTCACTATAATAATCTATATGGCCCCGCCCTAGCACTAGAACCCCTGACCCTGGGGTCATTAAATTCAAAATTTTGGAAGAGGCAGTCATTTTCAACTCAACTATGCACTTGGTTAGTTTATCTAATGCCCAGGAGCAGAAAAGAAGAATTTCAAAGAAATAATGCATTTTCACTATATAACCTATTTAGCCCCACCCTAGCACTAGAACCCCTGATCCTGGGGCCACGAATTTCACAATTTTGGTAGAGGACTCAATGCTGATTACAATCATGCCAACAGTTTGACTGCTTGATGTCCAGGAGTAAAGAAGATTTTTAAAGATTGCACTAATTTTAGTGGTTTTTGACCCACCCACCCCTCCAGGCCCCAGGGGGGCAGGGACCATGAAATTCACAATTTTTGTTTCCCTTCACCTACAGATGCTATATGCCAAATTTGGTTGAAATTGGATCTGTGGTTTCAGAGAAGAAGCTGAAAATGTTCAAATGTTAACACACGACGGACGACGACGGACGAAAACAGATAGCAATAGGTCACCTGAGTTTACTCAGGTGACCTAAAAAGAGATTTGTTTATCTTACCGTTTCTATCATTTTTTATCTTACCCTTTCTTCTATCCCTGACTTCAGTTGATCCTTGCTTCCTGGACTCCTTGTAGCAAGGCAAACCAAGTAGTCTTTTTGTAGGATCAAGGCTGGTCAAATCATTTATCATCAGAAATCCAAAATGCAACAAATGCAGTCTGTTCCTTACCCTTTGTCAGATGTTGTCCTGTTGTTATAGTGGATACCCTGTATCCTGGTAATGGTGTCCTCCTCTGTGAGTTGCTGGCTGCTATCTGTCCATCCCTCCTCTGTACCCCTAGCAAAGAAAGAAACTGACAAAAAATTAGTAAAGTTCAAATGCAATGAAACAAAAAGGATAAAAAGATTATACCTGTATCAGGCTGCCTGGCAAAGGTTCTATGTCCTGCTGCTTCAGACGTGTGTTCTGTCAATTGAAAATAAAGAGGTTAAAGTGGGACTCCGAAAGAAATGTAAAACAAGATATGTTTGTGGGACTCAGAAAGCAATGTAAAACGAGATATGTTTGTGGGACTCAGAAAGCAATGTAAAACAAGATATGTTTGTGATACACTTATGCTCCACCTCCTCCTCCTCCCTAAAATAATTGGAAGTCCAAGGGGCATAATTCTGTCCAAAATTGCTCGACTGTACCCAAAACTGAACTTGATCTAGATATTCTTATGATAATTTTTTAAATTCATTTCAGTCATTTCAATATGAAATAACTATGCAAAGAAAATGAATAAAAACTGCAAATAATTGGAATTTTTTAAAATCGAATGGACATAACTCTGTCCAAAATTGCTTGATCGTATCTACCAAACTTCATAATTAGAGGTTCTCTGAACATGCATGGAGCTAAATACAAAATGTTACAACCCCTCTTATGCAATGGAAAATTCCAGGTTTTGCTATGTTTGCACAACCAAAACATAAAATAGGTTGTGCACAATGGCATTATGTAATAAAGATACAGTGAAAGTCTTTAATTTCTTCAATGGTTATAGGTAGAGTTGTGAATAAGAGATGGGTACTTCAGCTATTATCGAAAAAATAGCAGTGTCCACAATTACATATGGGAATCCAAACTCAATTATGTGTCCAATCAAAATTTAAAATTGGAGAGGACATGATTTCACTTTTTGATATTGAGACTCTCATACAATTTTACTCAGTGATTATTCCACTTTCTATTATGAATTACTTTGGTAAAGGTGAGAAAGCCTGTGGTTATTGGAGGAGTTGCACATAAGTGATTAGCTTCCTCAAAATGTATTAGATACACAAAAGGAATGACAGACAGACAACCCAATAACTGATGACCTTCACTTTACTGGCAGGGGGGTATAATAAGGAATTTGTGTAAGAAGAGAGAATATTACCATATCTTCCGAGGTAGGCCTCAGTTTATGGGGCGTCTCCTCTTCACTGCCAGGTCAAGGTCAGCCAACTGCTCTGTCAAGACAAAACACTGAATGTTTATATTGCTGCAAACTCTTTCTTATGAACAGGATGCACAAGAAATTAAGGAAATTTTTAGGAAGACTTATATATAAACAAGAAGTAATCAATGTACATTACCTTGACATGGTTGGTTTTAGCAGTGGATCCTTCTGGTCTGGACTCTTTTTCTGTCTTTAACTGGCCAATGTAAAACTGGTAATGGAAGGCAATCTAACAAGAAATAAATAAAGGTCAATTAGAGATTTCAAATCAGTAAATAATTTCAGGAAACACAGATGCCCAGTCCACAATAAATTGTTGAAATGTTGGTATCCAAGAAAGCAAAAAAATAAGAAGAGAGCCTAATGCACCAACTGTTTATTTGTTATGTCTTATATTTTAGTTTTTTTCAAAAGAAAATCAAATTCCAAGGTCAAAATGTCTAAAATATCTAGGTACACAAAGATAGTACTTTGTACAAGAAAAAAGAAATGTAAAATGTGTAGGCATTTGAACCAAGCATGCAGGAGTTATAGACAAGATTATTAAAGTGTTTTTCAAAAGTAAAGCACTCTAGGCAAAGGTAAAAAATATTGATATCCTAAAAAAGGGCTCAAAAGAAATACAAATGAAATGCCAAAGTCCTAAGCTCATACTTGTTAAAGCTAGAGTCAAGAATAAAGTTTCTTCGGACAAATAGACAGATGGACAAACAAGAGATTTGCCCTGAATCTCAGAATATGGGAACATTAACAGAGAAGACTTTGTGTCTTACCCTCAGTTCTAAGTTTGGCCACTGTTCATCCTTACTCCTGACACTCTAGCTAAAGCATGACAGTCTGCCCTGAAACATGGTTTCCAGTCTTACTCTCTGTCTGTTTAAATAGAATGTGAAGAGGAAAACACTTAATCAAGTGAGAAAGTTCTTGAATCTCTCTAAGTGTATGAAGAAAAGATTTTAACTTGACCTTTTTAGTATACTAACACTACTCACCCAAATCTTAGGATTGGGCACTGCTTGTCTCTGCTTCTGTAGGATTGGGTGCTACTTGTCTTGGCCTCTGTGGGATTGGGCACTGCTTGTCTCTGCTTCTATAGGATTGGGCACTGCTTGTCTCCGCTTCTGTAGGATTGGGCACTGCTTGTCTCCGCTTCTGTAAGATTGGGCACTGCTTGTCTCTGCTTCTGTAGGATTGGGCACTGCTTGTCTCTGCTTCTGTAAGATTGGGCACTGCTTTTCTCTGCTTCTGTAAGATTGGGCACTGCTTGTCTGCTTCTGCTTCTGTAGGATTGGGCACTGTTTGTCTCTGCTTCTGTAAGATTGGGCACTGCTTGTCTTTGCTTCTGTAAGATTGGGCACTGCTTGTCTGCTTCTGTAGGATTGGCCACTGCTTGTCTCTGCTTCTGTAGGTTTGGGCACTGCTTGTCTCTACTTCTTTAGAACTGGGTCAGTTGCTTGTCTCTGCTTCCGTAAGATTGGGCACTGCTTTTCTCTGCTTCTTTAAGATTGGGCACTGCTTTTCTCTGCTTCCGTAAGATTGGGCACTGCTTGTCTCTGTTTCTGTAGGTTTGGGCACTGCTTGTCTCCGCTTCTGTAGGATTAGGCACTGCTTGTCTGCTTCTGTAGGGTTGAGCACTGCTTGTCTGCTTCTTTAGAACTGGGTGTTGCTTGTCTCTGCTTCTGTAAGATTGGGCACTGCTTGTCTCAGCTTCTCTAGGATTGGGTGCGACTTGTCTCTGCTTCTGTAGGATTGGGCACTGCTTGTCTCTACTTCTTTAGAACTGGGTCAGTTGCTTGTCTCTGCTTCTGTAAGACTGGGCACTGCTTGTCTCTGCTTCTGTAAGATTGGGCACTGCTTGTCTCAGCTTTTGTAGGATTGGGTACTGCTTGTCTCTGCTTCTGTAGGATTGGGCACTGCTTGTCTCAGCTCCTTCAGGATTGGGGACTGCTTGTGTCAGCTCCTTCAGGATTGGGCACTGCTTGTCTCTGCTTCTGTAGGGTTGGGTACTGCTCGTCTCTGCTTCTGTAGGTTTAGGTACTGCTTGTCCCTGCTTCCATAAGATTGAATACTGCTTGTCCCTGCATCTGTAAAATTAAATACTGCTTCCCCCTTCTTCTGTAAGATAAAGTACTGCTTTCCCCTGCTTCTGTAAGATAAAGTACTGTTTTCCCCTGCTTCTGTAAGATAAAGTAATGCTTCCCCCTGCTTCTGTAAGATAAAGTAATGCTTCCCCCTGCTTCTGTAAGATAAAGTAATGCTTTCTCCTGCTTCTGTAGGATTGGGTGCTGTTTGTCCTTCTTTAAGATTGGCTTCTGCTTGTACCTGCATCTGTAAGGGGAAAAATATGTGTGTCCCTGCTTCTGAAAGATTAAATTCTGGTTGTCCCTGCATCTGAAAAGATGAATACTGCTCGTCGCTGTAAGATTGGTTAAGAACTGCTTGTCCCTGCTTCTGTAAGATAAAAAAACTGTGTCCCTGCCTCTGTAAGATAAAAAACTATGTCCCTGCTTCTGTAAGATAAAAAACTGTGTCCCTGCCTCTGTAAGATAAAAAACTGTGTCCCTGCCTCTGTAAGATAAAAAACTATGTCCCTGCCTCTGTAAGATAAAAAACTGTGTCCCTGCCTCTGTAAGATAAAAAACTATGTCCCTGCCTCTGTAAGATAAAAAACTGTGTCCCTGCCTCTGTAAGATAAAAAACTATGTCCCTGCCTCTGTAAGATAAAAAACTGTGTCCCTGCCTCTGTAAGATAAAAAACTATGTCCCTGCCTCTGTAAGATAAAAAACTGTGTCCCTGCCTCTGTAAGATAAAAAACTGTGTCCCTGCCTCTGTAAGATAAAAAACTATGTCCCTGCCTCTGTAAGATAAAAAACTGTGTCCCTGCCTCTGTAAGATAAAAAACTGTGTCCCTGCCTCTGTAAGATAAAAAACTATGTCCCTGCCTCTGTAAGATAAAAAACTGTGTCCCTGCCTCTGTAAGATAAAAAACTATGTCCCTGCCTCTGTAAGATAAAAAACTGTGTCCCTGCCTCTGTAAGATAAAAAACTGTGTCCCTGCCTCTGTAAGATAAAAAACTATGTCCCTGCTTCTGTAAGATAAAAAACTGTGTCCCTGCCTCTGTAAGATAAAAAACTGTGTCCCTGCCTCTGTAAGATAAAAAACTGTGTCCCTGCCTCTGTAAGATAAAAAACTATGTCCCTGCCTCTGTAAGATAAAAAACTGTGTCCCTGCCTCTGTAAGATAAAAAACTGTGTCCCTGCCTCTGTAAGATAAAAAACTATGTCCCTGCCTCTGTAAGATAAAAAACTGTGTCCCTGCCTCTGTAAGATAAAAAACTATGTCCCTGCTTCTGTAAGATAAAAAACTGTGTCCCTGCTTCTGTAAGATAAAAAGACTGTGTCCCTGCTTCTGTAAGATAAAAAACTATGTCCCTGCTTCTGCAAGATTAAATACTGCTTGTCCCTGCTCCTGTTCAATTAAATACTGCTTGTTTCTGCATCTTCAAGGTTAAATACTCTTTTTCCCTGCTTCTGTAAGGTTGGTTACTGGTTGTTCGTGCATCTGTAAGATAAAAAAAAAAGGCTTGTCCATGCTTCTTCACCATTAAATACTGCTTGGCTCTGCTTCGGTAAGGTTTATTATACTGCTTGTGTCTGATTCTGTAAGAAAAAAAATGATTGATCCTGCTTCTGTAAGATTGGCTACTACTTGTTCTTGCATCTGTAAGATAACAAAATGGCTTGTCTTTGCATCTGTAAGATTAAATACCACTTGCCGCTGCTTCTGTAAGATTTAATACTGCTTGTGCCTGCTTCTGCAAGATTAAATGAATGTATATATATATATACATACATCTATACCGTTCAACCTTGTAATCTCAAACTTGAAACCGTGGTATTTAACGATTACAAAATACTAATAATTCATGAAAAAATAAACAATTAAGTGAAATAATCTCTGTTATAGCTTCTTGTCAATGTTCAAGAAAGCAAAGTTGAACTGTATATTGAACTTTTTTTTTGTTTTTTGGGGTTTTTTTTGTTTTTTTTGTTTTTTTGTTTTTTTTGTTTTTTTGGTTGGTTTTTTTAATATATATATATATTCCTTATATATAAGATGAACTCAACAACATGATGTTGTATATACAACTATGCAACATCAATGAGTTGGTGCCCATCTCAAAGGGCCTCGCTTTTACTAAAGGGCATCAGGAATAGAGGGCATTGTAAATGACCTTGACATTTGACTTGCACCTTTAATCTACTGGCACTCCTGAAGATGTATGAGATGAATCTCAAGGGAACACAGAATAATGTCCATGACAATAACTTCACACAGATGTCTGCTATGACCTTGAAACCTGACCAAAAACTTGGTTTATTAAACCTAAAGTGACCTTTTAAACAAAGTGGGATTCTATGGGTTACCGAGTCAATATGAGCTGGTACAAAAATATCACAAATCTTGTTGGATTGAAATCATATCCAACCATGAACACTTGGAGATTTTAATACGTAAACAGAAAAATTGTTTACCACTGACCTTTGGTTCAAGGACTCTACAAAGGGGAGAAAAATGCTCTATAATAAATATGACACGACCTTGACTTCTGATCTAGAAGCTGTTCATTCCTGCACATCCTATACCACTTGGCACTATATATAGGTGAAGTACAAGCCACATAGGGCTAAAATGAAAGAAAATGTGCTCACTATGATGAATATGACATGACCTTGACTTCTGATCTAGAAGCTGTTCATTACTGCACATCCTATATCACTTGGCACTATATATAGGTGAAGTACAAGCCAGATAGGGCTAAAATGAAAGAAAATGTGCTCACTATGATGAATATGACATGACCTTGACTTCTGATCTAGAAGCTGTTCGTTACTGCACATCCTATACCATTTGGCACTGTATATAGGTGAAGTACAAGCCATATAGGGCTAAAATGAAAGAAAATGTGCTCACTATGATGAATATGACATGGCCTTGACTTCTGATCTAGAAGCTGTTCGTTACTGCACATCCTATACCACTTGGCACTATATATAGGTGAAGTACAAGCCACATAGGGCTAAAATGAAAGAAATCACCCCAGTTAAGGGTTACATTACAGATGTGCTTTTTACTTTGACCTTTTATTTAGAAAACTGGTTCAACATAACTGCAGTTTAAACCAGATTGAGACAAGGGGAGGGAAACCGTATCAGACAGACGGACAAACTGATCATTATCATAGCGAGGCCCCAAATATTGAAAACAAAACCACTCACTTTACATCTACGTCTGGACAGAGCTGCTGAGACGAGGCGAGGGTTGTGGTGGGCAGACAGTTAATTGTGTGTGCAGATGGGACATCAAACATTAAACAATATTGAAAACAATTAATGGACACTGTAAATCAGACATTGAACAATACATGCAAAAATACATCAAAAAAAAAAATACAATTGTCAGAAAGGACATGTACCAAAAATTGTAGAACAAAGTACATATATGGTATAACTCATCTAAATCCTATCTCTCTGATCCACTTAAATATAGGTTAATTAAATGCAACAATCAATGTATGCAGCAGATACAGCATTGTCAAAAGAGGCAGCATGAGAGCAGTTGTTTCCAGGAGACTGTCCCAGAAATTGGCAATACACCGCGTACAAGTGTTAAATGTAGGTCGGATACAGTTCCAAAATGAGCATCAGAGTCTGCATACAAAGATACATGATAAAGAACAAGATCAGTTTAGAACTAATCTAAATAATGAAAATAATCTGAGCTCTGAGCCAGTATAGCAAGAAATGTAGGGCAGATGCAGCATCCAAAATAAGCATCAGAGCCAGCATCCAAAGATACATGATAAAGAACAGAAAAGCTTGGAACTTATCTAATAATGAAAATAATCTAGTGGGCCAGTGAATCAAATAGTGTAGGTCAGATTCAGCATCAGAGGAAGCATCCATATGCAAATTTGGTTATTATTCTGCTTGTAAGAAGCTGAGAATAAATGTAAATGTTAAGTTCATTAACCAAAGTCACTATGCATATGCATGAAATTACAGTTCATATGCATTAGCAAAGCTAGGCATGCATCTCATGAACAGTTGATATGGTCTCAGACTAATACAGTACAGACAGACAGACAAAGCAATGATAATATTATACAAATTCAATACATTAAAGCTAAACACGACCCCTATATAAAGCGGTTCACTTAGTCACTGCATGTTCATTGTAATCAGTCGACACCAGTGTAGAC